GTCATCTTGTTAGAACGCAGCTTCGCTTCTGTAAAGCCGCTTCGCTGACCATGGTTCGTGCTCGCATATATGTGAAAGGAAGGACACCCTTAAGTTTCATGGGGCCGATCGCCAGCTGTTCCCGGTTCGTGCTCGCATATATGTGAAAGGAAGGACACCCTTAAGTTTCATGGGGCCGATCGCCAGCTGTTCCCTTCGGAAAAAGCGCAAGGTTTCGCACCTTCCTGAAGACGAGGACAATCCAAGAGTGGTGTTGCATGTAACTGCCCGGATTCATAAAGGAATGACCCTGCTTCTTGTCTGTTTTGAACCCAATCAGGCTACGCGGTCTAAGGCGTTGAAGTATCGATCCCTCAGCTCGTTCTTCATCAAAAATGGAGCCAACTGCGCATCACTACTTACGTCGTATGATTGAGTCCTTCCCTGGCTAAAAGCCGATGAGCCCCCAAAAAGATCATCAATGACAGTGCTAGTTGTGGTTGTTCATTACTGTGTTGGCAAAAATTCCACGATGTTTCAGCTCACATTTGCGATTTGTGTCTCCGCGCAGGCGGAAGGAGTTGATCGGAAGAGTTCTCGCCAACAATAAGGGGAATCACGCCATCCATGTAGTTAGCGTCTTAGGCGAAACTTTATACCAGGGCTACGACTTTTGTCAGGAATACAGTCTTAATTAATAGTTGATTCGAAGAGTAGAAAAACTGGTCCGTTGTTTTGTTTACAGAAACGATTGTGATGAGCAGTCCCAAATTTTTTGTTCCTCTACTAACGGAAGGATCCATACGCGAAGTGGCCATTTGAAATGAGTCTGACGTTAATAACGGCCTCCTGTGTATTGAAACTGTCAGATCCTGTTAAACTATGATAGCGGCAAATCAAAAGTCGAGCAAAAAAGGACCTTCTTATACTGGCACCGAAGTGTTCGATATTTAGCAATGCTTCTGTCCTGTTAAGATGGCCTTTCTAACTCGACGTATCTTTAAAGGTTTTGAGTCCTCCCTCTCCTTTTCATCCTTTGCCCTGTACTTGAAGGCACAGTTCACGATAAAAAAAAGTTCCTTAGATTCCCCTTCAGGAGTTCCCAGTGGCCCCCAAGAGTAACAGAAAGGACTCAGGCCGGGCCCAAAAACTCAAGAGCTAGGGTTTGGCAGGAGCCCCAATACCGGATCGGTCGAATGCCACTGCCATCGAACCATGATGTGTCAGACGAGTGTGAGTGATGAGAGGATAAAAAGGCTTTTTGCTTTTTTTGATGCCGATAGTGTTAGTGTTTTTGATGCTGGTAGTGTAACACCCCTTCTACTTAATACTTCTAGTCTCATTCTCGTCCAACCCCCTTTCTAACCATTCTCTCGGAGCCTTTTATCACTTTGGAAACACCGATCTACCCACATTCTTCGCACCATCGCACTATTTCCCGCCTTCTCTTTCATTTTTCGTCATGATCTGGTTGACCCAAATTTGTCGTGAAGCGTGCCTTTAACGGACGCAGTCTTGACGTTGGCAAATGTTCCAAGATATTCAGTAGCGGTGAGGGTACCGACATTCAGTAACCTGAGGAGACCTCTTAATGTAACTGAATTCCTCGAAACGAGTTGCTTGGAATTCACCTTTTTTGTGATGATAACAGGCAATATGGGCATCGCTAATTGTCCATCTGCGTGAGACTAGGTTCTTATGTAATCCCCAAAGTGCCCATGTCTTTGCACCCAATTTATGGCACCCACAGCTGCCTGCATCCTCTGAGTACTACTGTTCTTAATTCTGTTCTAACATGATTTCGCACAGCGTTACCAGTAAACCCACATAAAATGTTACGAACTCCTGAAATGCAAATGGTGTCAGAAGAAGCACTTTTTTGGCAAAATACTCGGCTCCTGTGTTTTTAGCATGTTTATTTCAAAAACGGCGATGAATCGATTCTGTCACTTGTGAAATTGGAGAATTAGCTGAGATTGGTAGAATCCACCGATTTATCGCATTACCCTTCCACATCCTAAACAAAGCGAAAGCGAGTAATATCATCATGTTGTGGTCAGCAGAGACTACCATCTTCGTGTGTTTGTTTTTCACCTCATCTGCGGTACGGCACCTTTTCTTGCTGAGGTAGATAAATTCTTTTCATCCACAGCAAGAGCCATCAACACTAGCAGAATTTCTCCGATCCGTCAGTGTCTAGAGCCAGCGAGTTTTGTTTGTGCGAATAACCATGTTATTTTCCTTCATAAGACTGGTGTAATGATCAATGCACAATCTGATTTGAGAATAATTCAGACCATATCATGAATGTGTGATTATTCACGGCCCATTGGTAGGTAACCGCGTAACATTAGTTTAGAACCTTTTTTTACATGACCACATTTTAGAAATTATTAATAACTGAAGGGAATCGTGTTGTAGAATACTCACCAGATAACGTCTTTATTACTCGAACAACGGAAGATGCGCGCATTGAGATATTGAAGAAAATAAAGTCACGACGCAACTTGTTTTTTCTATATGGAATGTACTAGAGGGTGTCTCTATGTGACGGACTTCTTTGCAAGCAACTATTGAGAGCTAAGGCCGGAATAAGGCTTCCATACAGAAAGCTAGTCAGACAATTTGTATCGTTGAGTGTGGAATGTTGTTCATGCTAAATTCAGGCTCTTTATGCGACGAAACTAACTTTCTAACCACGAAGGACAGCGGGAGCGTATCTCCATCACTTCCAACGGTGAATGGTTTGATTTTTCAAATCGCTTCTGAAAAATTTCCATTTTTTTTTCGCGTATATATTAAGTGCAGTGTGGAAGGTATGATTTGTTGATCGACAGCTTTTCAAATGAATATCCAAGTCGAGATGGAGAAACGTCAAATGATCTGTTTGATCGGGAAAACGTCATTGACAAGAGCCGGTATAAAAGGACAAACTTTCTGGTCAGTTGTTTGTTGCTTTGAAATGAAATGAAGTAATGAGTGCACAATTCTCTTTGGGGTGTACTACATTCAGCTATCAAACGTTATAAACTTTTTTGGATCGCGAGAGAAGCTCGCAATTGTTCACGCTGTCACCTACTACTTTCATTGCGACATTTGAATTTGGTCGATTCCCGCGTAAGGGCAATGATCGATTACGAAGCCTTGAGAAGTATAGAGCATGCACTGAAACGCGTGAGCGTTGAGTTTTGTTGCGAGTTTCTTCAATCGCTCCAATGACCAAGGGGCAGTGCTTGGCGTGGCGAGTGTGACGAGGCTTGGATCGTAGTTGCCATTTGTTTCAAGCCTTATTTCGAGAAAGTTCTCGTATGTATCAATAGGCTACAATCCGTGTCCATTATTTAATTCATCGTGTACTCATCCAGAACAATGTTCGTGAAAGGATTGATAAACGCATCGATTCAGCAACGTAATCGGGTCAAGTTTGGGACAGGATAACTCACTATCATTTAAAAAGCCTATGTTTGACCAATTAACTATCCGATTCACGTGTCTTACTCTGAGAACTGGTAACTTGTTCTCCAGCCTGCAGTATTGTGGAGCTGTTTGTTGAGCTGTATATGTTTCCGTCTGCGAGACCTTTTAATTGGATAAGTTTTAAACATAGGAATCAAGTATAAAAATTCCCCACGAATTTGTCACTGGAGTAGAGCTGTTGTTTCAGAAGACGAAGAGTTCGGTTAGGCGTAGTATTCTGCTTTATTCTTGTGCACAGACTGAATGAACTGCAGACAAGGGAATGTTTTTCATTTGCTCATTTCATGTTGTTAAATAAGAACAATTTGATTTCTTTTGCCCTCGGTACTGGCGAACTTCTGGTCTTATCCTATTTAGATTTTGAGTACTACCCTTGTGGAATCATCGGCCCACTATAGCCTCTAGTCGCTACGAAGGTCACCCTCTTCTACTTGGTAATTCTTCATGTGGCGTCTCCTCTACTGAAGTACTCGTAACCCAGAAAGGTGAATTGACATGGGAATGATTCCAATCGAAGCGGTTGTTGAAATGAGACATACATATGTCGCTTATGGCTGGATGTGTTTTCAGTCATTGATACTTGTCTGCTCCCGAAATATACGAAGCGGTTCTCCGAAACGAATTGCCAATGCTTTTTTAGATGGGTAGGAAAACTAACATAAAACATGTGGAGTGATAATTAAAACTTCAACAAGCGAGCTTAAACTGCAGTACTTTTTATACCTTTATTAGTACAAGCAAATGTTAAAAGCAGTCGACAATAAAAACCTCCCTAACAACAAAAGCAAAACAAGGTACAAGGAAACGGTCAGTAATAGAGGCACCGTATAGTAACGGAATCCTCACTATTCCTTACCATATATGAAACACAAAATCTGTTTGTCGGTCTGTTTGCCTGTTTGTCCGTTTGAAGCTGTTTTCTATGGCGCCTTCTGAAAATCGAACTGGAACAGGCTAGGCCAGATTAGAGCAAATGTGGAATGATCAGAACTACCTGAAAACACGTGAACCGAGCTGGACTCCGGCCAGTGGGGGCGAGGCTTCCGCGAAAATTGTTAATTTGGATCAATTTGGACCTGGAGAGTTCAAATTTTGTAGAGGTGCAGATGGCAAGATAGGAAAACCAATGGCAAGTGGCGTGTGTAGACTCCGTCCACTGAGGCGGGACTTGCAGAAAAATTGTTTTTGTTTGACCTGGAGCGTCCAAAGTTGGTAGAGGTGCAGA